AGCGTCAATGGTTGCCATCTTTGTAGCGGAAATTTTCAAAACATATTCATTGGTTCATTCATTTGATCCCATATTCAACGCATACACACACAGACATACCATCACCGCACACACCCCTACACACACACAGACACACTCGTAGACGAGTGGCGCACACGAGTGGACACACATATGACCGGCGGTCACAACGGGTCGTCCGCTGCGGCCGTCGGCGGCGGACAAGGCTTTGGGCGGCCGACGAGTGGTCACCAAAATTGTCGATCGTTTGCGTGTTTTTTGACTGCATTTTGTACCCATGTTTTGGCGGCGCGTGTGAGGGGTCGGGTCGGGGGCCGCGCTTTGACCGGTGCGGCCATTGGTTAGCATTAGTAGCGATGGTCTCTCACCTGATCTGTTGTTCATCAAAGCCATCATCGGTTGCGTTGGTATGGCTTAAGACATACGAAGACGTATTGTGTTGTGAATTGAGTGAAAACGAGCGCACAATTGAAAATAGCGGCCAATACTACAACTCTCCAAACACTACCACTACTTCCACAACACTATTCAATACACACCACCCGTTATAATGCGCTCCCTTTTCAAACACTATACACGCGCTCTCACTCTCTCTCTGTATGAGTAGCGCTGGAGAGCACACCATTCCAGCGGCCAATCAGTGACACCCATTGCCAGTGAGTACAGTCTGCGCACACTATTTGTGGCGATTATACGTTAGGATTGTATGGTTGCGGTCAACACGCGTTTTCACAGTCAACTTATTTTCAACTTTTCATTCAATCACTACTTTTTCTTTCGGTCAATGTTTTGGTTTCGGATTTGAGTTTTGTTTTCATGTTTTAGTCATTGATTTGGGCGTCAATTAAGCGGACAAATCGTTTTGGCCATTGAATCGGCGACTAATATGTCGGCACAAATGCACAGACAAGCGCTGCAGCAGATCCTGCAGACGGGCGGCACTCCCAAAGAGCAGACCGACCGGTGAGTACCACATCCCATGGGATGCATGTCTTGTCGTGTCTTTGTTTGTCATTATCTGTCACTCACTTTGCAGTTATCGTTCATATCTGGAGAATGTGTTGAAGACAACCAACGAAGAGCTCGAAGACGGACTCAAGGCTTTCATTGAGACGAGTAATGAATCACTTAATGATTAAATGAGTGTTTTGTTAACAAACGTATCATTTGTTTGCCGTTAAAAACAGTTGTCAACGAAAACGTATCGCTTGTCATCTCTCGCCAACTGCTGACAGAAGTGTCACAACACTTGGCATCGCTTCCGCCGGTCATATCGAAGAATATATCGCACTTTACGCTCGAGAAAGTGCACCCGAGGGTCGTCTCCTTTGAGGAACAGGTGTCAGCCATTCGACAACATTTGGCGCTCATCTACGAGACGGAGCACAACTGGAAGGACGCGGCGCTGGTTTTGGTGGGCATTCCTCTGGAAACGGGACAAAAACAGTATTCAGTGGACTATAAGTTGGAGACATACCTGAAGATCGCGCGGCTATATCTGGAGGACGACGACCCGATACAGGCCGAGGCCTTTATCAACCGGGCGTCGCTATTACAGGCCGAGACCACTAACGAACAGTTACAGGTCATGCATAAAGTGTGTTACGCCCGAGTCCTCGACTACAGGCGTAAGTTCATTGAAGCCGCGCAGAGGTATAACG